TCAGCAGCCCATGTGGGGATCGAACCATCAACCTTGTGCTCTAACCAACTGAGCTAACTGTCCACCCCAGTCTCATTATTTTTAAAAGGGATTTGTTTCATATTAAAATTGAGCTTTATTAGAGGCCTTAGTGGAAAAAAATAGCTTTGAAATTCTACTGGCAGTGACTTTCTGCATTAGAAAGTGTATATTATAAATCAACTTGTCAGTAATTACAAACGGTCATAATTGTTTTGGGGAACGTGGAAATGCATTTTGTCTTCTGCTGACAGGGACGTTCTTCAGTGTACTATGATCACCCATCAGATTCTGCTGAGAGGGGCTGCTCAGTGCTATCTTCTTCAAACAGCTATGAACTTGGTAGATGTGGTATGTTTATCTTCTTTATTTGTGATACTTCAGTTTACACACTTTCTTAGTGAGTGCATGTGCAAACAAGAGTTAATGTAGCAGGCCTGTGAGGCAGTCATTAGAAAGCTCTGTTAGAGGGCTGGTCCTTGGCTGGCATCCTGGAACTTCGATTTTGGGAGGGTTCCCAGTGTCTGACTGATGGGAATCGCTTGCTGTGCCTGCATTGTTTATACAAACAATGTCGCTTATCCTGAACACCTCCTTTTCTTCTGGGAGTCTGGAATTTTGGTAGTTGCTATGCAGAGGTGTCTATGTGATCAGCTCCCTGTGACAATCCTGGGCACTGAGTCTCTAACGAGCTTTCCTGGGGGACGATTTACAGGTTGCTGGGGAATTGAGCATCCCTTGGCGACTCCACTGGGAGAGGAGCTTGAAGCTTTCTCCCGATTTCCTCTATACTTTTCCACACATCTTCCAGTAATTTGACATTCAAGGGGTATCTACTATCTTATTCTGTGTTTTTTATAGAGCCCCAATCATACCGTAGGTGTGAAGGGCCAGACTAACGTATATTTTAGGCTTTGGGAGTCAGATGAGCTTTATCCCAACCACTCAAAAGCAGCCATCAGCAGTTGGTAAATAAATGAGCATGGCTGTGCTCCAATAAAACTTTATTTACAAAACAGGCTGTGAGTGGTTTTGCTGACCCCTGGCCGAGAGTAAGATATCTTAATTCAAGACTTACAACTTTAAGGGAATGAAAGACCTGTGTGGTTTTCTTAAGGCAGGGCGTCATTTTTGTGACTTTGAAAAGTAAGAAGCACTTTTGATTTAAGTAATAAGTAATTTCTTATAGACTTTTTGTTTTTGCTTTTAGACTGTGACCATCTTGTCTCTAAGACAGTAGCCTAATTTTAAAGAAAACAGATTTATACAATAATCTTTCATTTAATATATTGGGTTGTTGGAAAAGTCATGACGCATTTTTTTCTATTTTTTGTTGCAAAAATGCATCATGACTTTTCCGACAACCCAATATTACGTTGGTTGTAATCAATACTTCATTTTAAAAGTTGAATAATATTTTCTTTTTCAAAAATAGCTTTCTTTTGATTTAAATAATAATATCCTATTTAAATAGTATATTGGATTACTTTTACAGTGATTTTATTAAATTAAAATTTTTTAAATGAGTACATTTTAAAAACTGCTCTCCCCTCCACCCCCTCCAGGAGAAAGTGTCACTTTCCGACATATCAGTTTTTCTTATGTCTCTGAGACAAGAGGAGTCCTTAGGACGAGGAACCTCATTGTGGACAGAGGTGAGACTGAAAATCATTTAATGATAAGGTCTTTGAAAACTGTATAAAACTTGTTTCCTAATTGAAGTCATTACTGTTCATTTATGTAAAATGTAATGATTGCTTTGTTATCTATCAACAGAAATTTAAAAAAAAAGTATATTTGCTTTGAGCGGACCTAATAGTGCTGCTAAAGTCCTCATGGAGGGGTGGAGGCAAGAAAGTGTTGGGAAGAGAGACAGACCTGTTTAGAAAAGGAGGTGGTAGGGCCGGCCGAGTGGCTCAGTTGGTTNTAAATGTTTTTTTGTTTGTTTTTTTGTTTTTAGCTGAGCCGTCCTGCCACCTGTTGGCAGCTCAGCGGCAGCTCAGCTCGGGCTGGACTCGAACCGCTGTTGCTCAGAGCTCAAACCTTTGAGCGAGCTCTTAACCAACTGAGTCACTCGGCCAGCCCTAATTTCCATTAAATGTGAGGTCAGCATTTACAAAATTGTGATTATGAAAATACTGTTCACAGGTGATCTATGTAGTAAACTGATTGTTTTTCCTACCTGCAAATTTTTCCTAGAATTATGTCATTTTAAAATTTGATTCTCTCCTTATCCCTTTCCACTGATTCAGCCCCAAATTCTTTGCAAATCTGTCTGTGTCTCCATCTTGCCTGTACAAAGTCAGATCATCAGGTATATTTTAAAATTTCTTGAAAACTCTCCTAGAGTCCTCTTGTGTGCTCAGCCTTGTGCATAGCTGACATTTTTAGGTCTGTCTTCACCATCATCCTGGGGATGATTCCTTTCACCTGAGTCCTGTGTTGGAGCTCCGATTTCCTGAGTTCATAGCTGCTTCTTTGGTTTATTCACTTGTTTCGGTGTAGTGCATTTTCCCTACATGTCTGCACCTTGTGCCCTGCCCACAGTCTTTCCTAAGTGCCTGGAGAAGCCTGAGGAGAAGAGCTGGTGAGGGGTGTGGACGGCCTTGGGGGCTCCCTGGGTTTCTAAGCTGTCAAACTAGCCCACACCTGGCCTTTCAAAACTTGCGAAAATTTCATTTTTGAATTGCTGTTTTAGTGGCTGCCGCCTCTTGTGCTCTGCCAGAGGTGGGACAGTTTGTGTGTCCTGCCTGTTCTTGAGGCTTTCTACCCTTTGCAATTCAGGTCACCTGTTTGCATTGTGACTTTAGCTCTTAACAGTTTAGGATTTTGTAGATTCTCTAGCTTTTTCTCTTTGTTAGTCTGGCAGTAATATTTTCTATGGCTTTCTGCATCCTATGTGGAAGCCGAGACCAGGCAAGTCTAGATGTCTTTATTTTGACATCACATTTGATCGAGGGTAGAAGTCTAGCTTGGAAAACATTTCCATCCAACATTTTAAAGGCATCGATCTTGTTTTAGAAGTTAGAGCTTCCATTGTTGCCGTCGAGAAATCTGAAAATATTCTGAACTGTGTTTATTTTTCTGAACTGTGTTTATTCACATGTGATCTGTTTCTTCATGGCAGTTTGGAGGTCTGTGTCCCCAACGTCCTGAAAGTTCATAGGTCTTTTTTCATCCCAGTGCCGGGCACTTGCTGGACCTACTCAGTTGGAAAATCATGTTCTTCAGTGCTGGGAACTTTTCTTGAATTCCCTTGATCCTTTTTCTTCTTCTTTCCATGCTCTGTTTGGATATTGAACCTCCTGGACTGGTCATCAGAACATCTTTTCTCTCCTCTGATATTTCTTTTTGTTCTACTTCCTGAGTAATTTCTGCAACTTTATTTCCGGTCCTTTCTTTGAATTTCTTGTTTTTGCTATCAAAGTTTTATTCTCCTGAGATCTTTTTTGTTCTTGGAATGTCCCTTTTTATGTCCCTTTCTTATATCGTAACTGCACTGTACCTTCTCTTATCTCCCTTTAAGCTGTTAGTGAAATTTTTTTTCTTTCTTTTTCAGGTTTTCTTTTTCCTGCATAATTTTGTTTTATCCAAATTTCTTTTGTTTGTTTGCATTGGCCCTGATCTTTAATGTAGAGGTTTCCCCAGAGGTCTGGTGGTCCTTGGATGCCTGTGTATGTTTAAGAATAAGGAACCAAAAATCAGGTTTAAAGCTCTAGGCACAGGAGAGGTGCTTGTTGACTGTTAACTTCACTGTAAGGTGATCTGGCCAAGCCATTTCACTGGTAATCTCTGATATATTTTCAGGTATTTCCTCTTGGGCTGGCCAGAGTCCATGGAGATCTGGACAGTCAAGGCCTGGTCAGCATTCTGGGACCTGAGGGGCCACAGTGGTGGTGGGACAGGTAGAAGGGGGTCTCAGCACCCAGGGTGCACACAAGTTCACCTGATGCTCATTTTGATATGGCACTCACTCCTGATGTCAGCTGGTCCAGTGTATCTCAATCCAGAGCTCGACTATTTTACCTGCTCCAGAGGATAGATGCCAGTCTTTTTACCTGTTCAGGAGAAAGAACGCAGGAAAGAGGTCTGGGACCTGACTGTGTCTTAAGCACACTGAGCAGATTCTCTTCAGGTTAGCCTCACTGTCACCTCCACTTACAGAAGTAACTTTTGCTGTCAATTCCTTAGGTTTGTAATTCGGGTGATTTTGTAAATCAGTTTTTTTCTTGGCTTTCCCTGTGCTACCTTAACACTCACTTCTCTTGAGTCTGCTTGGTTTTCACCTGTTTTTCAGATTCTAAATTTCATTGCTGTTGTCTGTTCCCCTGTTTTCTCCATTCTTCTGGGTTTTTGCCTTTGAAAAATCCTTTACTGATACAGTGAGGTACTTAAGGCAAGTAGAGTTTATGTGTTCAAATCTGTTATTCTTACTCAGAACTCCAAAACAGTAATCCTAATTAAAAAAAAACAAAACTTTTTTGAGATTCTTATTCTTCAGGCCTCCTGTCTGGGCTTTGATGCAGGGCACCCTCCTCATTTGAGAAGACAGCATTTGGTAATAATGGCATAACTTTAGGAAGTACTTTTATTAAGAAACGTATGAAATTTGCAAAAGGAGGAACTAATTTTCTTTTTAAAATCATAACAGGCCCAAGTCTGTTTTGGTGGTCTGAGAAGAAAAAAGATGAGCTTCTAAAATTTTGGGAAAACTATATTTTAATTATGGAAACTTTAGAAGGAAATCAGGTAAGTGTTGTCATGTTTTAACAAAGCCCATGTAGATCGAGTTTTAATTTTTTCAAACCTGTTAAAGCAATGCAAAAGAACCACTTTGATATAGCATGAAAGCACACAGATTATACTTTGTTTTATGGCATTAATGCAATTTAAAATTGATTGTAAACTCAGGAAATGAAAGAATACTTTCAATTGACTTACATTATCATTCAGAGAATTTAGTTTTATTTGATCTTCTCTTGACATTTACTTCTAAAGTTTTAGTTGTCTGACATTATGAATAATCTCCAAGAAATAACTTTCTTAGGAAAACTTCACTTAAACATTTCTGAGGTAAATTGTTATTAAGTAAATAATTGCCCTATAATTTTGTAGGTTTTCTTTTTTTTAAGTTCTTACATCTGTGCAAACCTGGTCCTGAAAATGGAAACTTGAAAAATCATTTTCAGTTGAGTTTGAATCAGTTTTTGTAGAACTGTGGAATTTTTAAGTTGAGCGGAATCTCTTAAAATTAGTGGTTCTCAAACTTGAATGCTCATTCGAATCCCCCAGATGGCTTGTTAAAGTATAAATTGCTGGTTCTGGTCCCCAGAGTTTCTGATTCAGTAGGTTGGGGATAGTGCCTGAGAATTCGAATATTTACAAGTTCCCAGGAGATGCCTTTGCAGCTGTTCTGGGGACTCAACTCGAGAGCCTTGGTCTAGGGGTTCCCAGTCTGCAAGCTGTGGACCACTAGGGGGCCAGCAAGCTGTGGAGTCATTGTGAGGTATCAGTCCAAATGTGCAGCAAGCATTGTTTGTAGACTGAAATAATTACTCATGTGCTAAATATACACTGGCAGTGCCAAAAAATGTATACAAGTGGACACTTTGGTCAACATTGTGCAAGCAGTAGTTTGCCATAATCAGAAGTGTCTTGACGCTGACGGTAACAACTTTGAGCACCTCTTTTAATTGCAGAAGTCACATGTGACTTGTATTCATCTTTTGTTATCAGTATATATTGAGTATTACAATTTTAATACAGTTTTCCTTTCTTAAAATGTATATACATTTTTTGGCATCCTCGGTGAGGATGTGGAATAAAAAGCTTTTCTAAATTCAAATGAACTTTTATGGTTTTCCTTCATCAGTAGATCCATAAGACCCCCACTAATTATTTAGAAACTCTGATTTATCTGTATTTTGAAGGACATATAGATTAGACTCTATATCTGCAGCATACTCTGAGTACGAAGAACTTTGAACTCTGAATTGACTCTACTTTTAAATGTGTGGCTTTGAACAACTTGAATGACTAGAGAACATATTTCAGTATTGTTCCTCTTTGTAATATATTGGTATTACCGGCTCTATTTCCCAGGACGGTTGAGGATTACATGACATACTTTATGATAGTCACTGTATAAATGTAACATTACTATATGTTACTATACGAACATAATATACTAGATTATATTCATTAGCTTTGTCACACTCACTCTTACATACCTGAATTCATATGAGTTAAAAACTGGAAGGATCAGACACATTTTGCATAGTTTTTACATGGGGGTGGGGAGCGGAAGGGCTACTGTTATCTAAATAGATGAAAACTCCCTTAACGTTTTTAAAGGTGAATGTTAATTTCATAGATCTTTTTGCTTTTATTTTCAGATACATGTTATAAAGCCAGTTTTACCAAAGCTGAACAATCTGTTTGAATATGCAGTGTCAGAGGAAAATGGTAATGGCTACTTTGATTTTTGTAGTATTATAGCTTTTGCCCCTTGATTTTATAACAAAACTCTTGTTCATTGTAGAGAATTTGGAAAAACTGTAAAAGGGTAAAGGAGAAAATAAGAATATGTGTTTATATTCTAGATACAAAACTTCTGCATTGATTGTTCATAATGTTTTTTCTCACTTAGTATAGCCAAATGCATTTACCTATATCCGTAAATTGTCTTGAGAGATGTACTATTTTTTGCTTGATTTTTGTCTGTTTTCCATGAAAAAAATCCATGAAAAAATAATTGTGATTTTAAGCTCTATGCAGGCAACACATGAGCTGAAATGAGTAGACAGTGAGTGGGGTGGTGCATTGGCGAGGCAGGCAGGGAAGGCCTGCCTTAGGAATGACATCGAAGGTCAGGGTTGATAGGACCGCACCATGTGCAAAAGCCCTGAGGTGGGGACAGCTCATTGGGTGGGTGGAAGGACCAGGAGGACAGTGCTGCCCAGTGTGGTGGGTGTGGGACGGTGGGTGAGGTTGGTGCAGGTGTCAAGGTCAGTTCACCCTTGTTCAGGTTTTATTCTAAGAGCGATGAGAAGCCCTTCAAGGGTTTTAAGCAGAGGTGTGATAGTGTTAGATTTCTGTATGAAAGTGGATGAGAGAAGAATTGGTTGGAATCACCCCAAATCTAAAGTTCAGCCTGCATATAGGGGTAATATTTAATTTTTGTACTCTGTAGCAGCTATAACATTTACATACAGTCTCTCTAAATGAAACTTATCTGAATATGGAATACCGAACACCTATGTTATTTGGTTTTTCAGTAATTAAACACCCGTGGATGTGATTAAACACAATCTCCCTTTGTAGTGTTATAAGGAAGTGAATGTGTTTGTGTGTATATGTGTTTATTTATGAATACAGTCTACGTGGAGCCACCTCACATGAGGATCAAACGTCAGCCCTTGATGTTTTCTCCACAGAGTGTTGGCTCTTTCACCCATCCTGGCATATATGTATTTATAAACGAATGTTTGAAAGTGAAAATAAAATCCTGACCAAAGAAGGTGTTATCCATTTTTTGGAGCTGTATGAAACAAAGCTTCTTCCGTTTTCACCAGAATTTTCTGAGGTAAGGACAACCTTTATTTTCCTTGCTCCCTTTGTCCAAAGATGAGAGGTAAGGGCATTCATTGCATCATGTGTGATCTTCAGAAAAAATACTAGGCTTTCTGTAATACAGAAAAAATACTAGGCAAGTAACGCTGTATAGATGTGCATACAACAAATCCTAGTTCTCTAAGCTTAGCTGTCACGTTTGGACACTTTAATGTGGTTTGTCCACAAACTGCCCATGGTGGAAAGTGGTTCTTTGGCGTCAGTTTTCTAAACAACCTAAGTCAGGGTATGAAAACTGGTGTAGTAGCTCGTTAGCCATCTTTTCCACAGCCCTGGTCAATGAATTAACATTGCTGTATGAAGTGGAGATTGCTATTTGAGCTGTAGTATTATTACATATAGAAAAAATATTTTTTATTAGCATCTACACTTCCATTTGTCAGAAATCACACAAAGCAGAGACTCAGAATTATGGGTGTGGTTTTAAGTTTTATATTACAGTGCCATAGGAGTCACATGATCGCTTTGGTATAATTACTAATTTACCTCTTGTTTAGTAAACTTTCCCAATTGTCTATGTACTATAGTGTTTTGATATGCATCATTTTTTTTTTACATTCTCTTAGCCTTCCTGCACTTCCTGTAAGCTTGCTTTCTTTGGCCAATGTCTAGTAATATTTTTGAAGATATAATTTTCCCCTCTTTACCTTGCAGACATAGGGGCTTAAATTTTCTCTTGAGTATCTTTGTTTTCCCTTTATTTCCACCAGGTGTTCCTTCCTTGGGTTCCTTTCTTCCTTTTTGACCCAACATGAACCCTATTGTATGTTTTTATCAGGTGGGGAAATTCTGTACTTTGTCATTTTGTCGTTCTGGTGGAATTAGGGTGCCCTCTAAGACTCTCATAAATTACCCTGCAGCATAAGAGGTCGGCAGTGCCTATAACAGCTCTCCTGCAGCCTGTGTAGGATGTGCAATTAAGGGCAAAGCTGACTTTTCAAAGTTACAGTTGCAACTTAACAGCAAATACTTTTTTTTTTTCCAGTTTATTATTGGACCATTAATGGATGCACTTTCAGAGAGCTCTCTATATAGCAGGTAAACAAACATGATGTTAGTTAGCAGCAATGCAGTAATATGTATTTGATACATAAATCTAACGTGCTTATAAAAAAATGAAAATAAACAAAAAAGACTTAATGCATTTGGTACCTAATATATATTGCCTAATAAACATTCAGCTCATTCTTATGTCCAGTCCCTTCTGTGTTTGTTGCTTGTCTTTCTTCTGTTAGTTGTATC